TAGCTGCGTGCGTCCCGTAGCCTCGCCTCGCATGTGTGCTGGAAGAGATCTGATGAGAATCGACATGTCCTACATCAGTGACCCCTGTAGGAACGTCAGCATCGGCAGCAGCAGGTAGCTGGACCTCTCGTGCCCTGCCCTGGCGCGTTGTGCGGAGAGCTGCGCTGCACTCACGATGGCCGCATGTGCGTTGGATGTACGTACATACGTTTGCTTGCTTGTTGGGCGTGGGCTGGGCTGGGCCCCGTCCCGTTTGCCTCATAGCTCGCATTACTGCTCCTTGAGAAAATCTACAACTGCACGAAGCAGATAGCGTGCGTCAGGTGTGTGTACCACGGTTGCACAAGGTCGAGTCGAAGCCGGACGCGGCAAGTATCTACAACGACTCAAAAGATTTTGGGGTCCCCCTTCTCACGCACACGAGGTGTCGTGTCGTTGGCGGGAACGACTTCCTCGCACCCGCGGTACACACACACACACACACACACACACACACGCAAACTTGTTGTGTCCCTCTCTCTCTCTCTCTCTACTCTCTTTTCGATTCACCTTCCGACCCAGCCCCCCATCGACCTCGATCAGGCAAGCGGCCGGCGCCGCTGGCCCTGCTTGCTTGCGAAGTTTGGTGAGTTGTTAAATCAGAAAAGCCTGGGCCGCCCGCCCACCCCTCCAGTTGGCCGCCAAATTTGCGGCCCCCCCGGGGCGTGAGTTTGATTCTCTTCGGCCGTGGCCCGTCTCTGCTATAGGCCCTTGCCGCACACGCGCAGAGCGGGCGGGCGATGGGCGGACGGTGGGCGGAACGCCTCGCCTGTTGAGCCTGCGTTACATTCGCAACCCATTCCCACTTTATTCCCCTCCTTCTCAGTCTTCCTGCCCCCAAACCCCTCTAATTACTACCTGCCTGGAGTGTGCTGGAGGTTGGTCGGTGGCTTCTGCCCCCACCCCTGCGAGCATGGAATGTCCGTGGGCAGATGCACGCCGTCGCCGACGCCGCGTCTCGGGTGGTAACATGTCAGATTTGCAAGCGCTAGCCAATTTGCAGAGGTGGATATTGGGGAGGGGGTTGCTTCAAGGATGAACTCCAAAGAGATACCGGACGTGCAGGAGATGCCGCAACATGACAGAATAGCGCGCGGATCTTTTCGTTGGGGGTGAGCCTGGATCCCGCTGAGGGCTGAAGCGGCGGCCGAACCGCGAATCACCAGCTCCGCCACCGCTACGATGGGGGGAGATCTTGCAGCAGCAGGATGGAGCAGCAGCGGCGGCAGCAGCAGCTGATACCTCTCTCTGTTAAGCCAAAGCCCCAATGGCAAAAGTCTCCATGGCGTTGAGCAAAGGGGGCGAAATCAGTGGCCTGCTGGAGGAACCGACGTCCGCCGCCGTTGGCATACAGATCCAATCATGTCCGGGATGCAAGTATGCCTCGCATATGTCCCCCGTCGCAGCAGTGCTAGTGTATCCGTTACTGCGAAGAGCAGCATGTAAGGCAAGGCAATGCAGCGGCCCTAGCCTTGGGTACAGTACGGAGACGCTGTGAGACTTTTCCCACATGCCGTTGCCTATTGTTTGAACGGTCCTTCCTTTGTCTGGCTTTGTTTCCGGTTTCTCCTGTCTCCTCTGTCTCCTCCATCTTCTCTCCCTCGGGGACCAGAACCAAAGCAGGCTCGGCTGCGCTGTGCCGGTTTGGTATTCGGCTAGAGACTAACATCCATAACCTCGGCGTAGTTTGACTTCTGACAGCCGCCCTCCTCCTTGCGGTGTCGCGCACAGTCTTTGACCGGGTACGTAGACGGCGCGCCGCCATCCATTCCAACAATGCGTCCTTTTTTTTTCCTCTTCCCCCTCCCCCCAAAAGAGGAGGGTGTGAGGTACATCTCTCATGGTTCCCGGTTTCCTCTCGAATTAACCCCGAACTTTAGCTCCCGAGGCGAGACACAACCTTTCTGTCTGGGACACGACCGGTGTGAGCCAGGAGGGTGGAATGACAAACATGACAACAATATTGGTGATGTTCGGATCGGTTCTGGCCGGGTCTCGTTGAGATATCCACCCACGCTCAAATCCTCTGCTGGTCGCGCCCGCTTGTCGCGTCCCAGGTCGGCCGCGCGAGGTGGAGGCCCTACGTAAACAAACCAGTCTCGACTTGGCCAGGCCGGTCAAGGCAGGCAGCTCCTCTGCCCACCCCGGGAGAGAAAAGGGTCGATTGCCTGCATGCGCGCGTTCGGGTATGCATGCTGCTCAAACATGGGGTGGCGGCGGCGAGATCACGGATCACAGAGGAGCCCTGTAACCTCGCCTGTCGGGCCTCACGGTGCTCCAGGGGAAACAGAGCAGGTGTCGAGAGATGGCTCTTGCGCACATGGACCGCAGCAGACAGGCGCATGCCAGGCAGATCATGTAACTGTCGGGGACGGGGTCAAGCGAAAGTGAAGTGGAACTTGGCGTGCTCGAGCTGAGATTCGTTTCTCTTGCCATTCTGTCGCTTACGAGTGACACTGTCATATCGAGCTTGATACTACTATGTAAATGAATCTCCAATTTGGGAGAGGACTCGGAAGCTTGAAACGGCTCGCCCCTCCTCCATGACCCCTGTGCTCGTCCCTGCGTCTCTGACTGATATCACATGAGAGAGGGGAAGGAGATGGGAGCTTGGGGCTCGGCGGTGCGAGATTGAGTTTTTATTGACCTTGCTCTGGAGCGTCTTGCCTTGCTTACTTGCGGCTACCTATGGAACCATGTCGAAAGTAGAATAGTTGTTGTCTTGTCTTGCCTTTATTTCGGCCTCGCGAGAGTGACCGTTGCAGTGGGTAATGAGGCAGGATTACGCAGCAGAAAGTGGTTTGCAGCATTGCTCAGTATTGCGCAGCAAGGCGTTGAAGAATGGGCGTGTATGGCGCGCAGAACATGCAGGCCTCGGCATACTGCTGATTTTCCCTTTCTTTTTTCCCAGCACAATTGTTGTATTGTCACTTCTCAGGATTTCTAGTAGATATGGCATATTGGTGGTTTGATGTACAAGCGGCAGGGCATGGCGCATCGCATCGATGGTGCCCCTGGGTCCATCCTTCAACTCCAGCCCTGTTCGCTGAAAGCTAGCCGCGAAGCACAGCGGCGGGAAGGGAGGAGGCTCGGAAAGTAGGTTGGTAGGTAGTGTGGTGGGCAGCGGTGCAGCGGGCATCGTGCATGAACTCCTGGTACGGCATGATTAAGATGGGTGTGTTATACAGTACATGTGACGGAGCACCGCCTGCTTTTGGCATTTCCAAGGGTCGACCTGGAGAGGATCAGGACCGCATAGCAAGCCGATTAAGAGAAAAGCTTCGTGAACAAGGAAGCTTGCATTTCCAGGGGACATTTGGCATGCAGACGCAAGTGCGTGCGGTGGCCTGGGAAGAGGCAAAGATGGCAGACATGGGAGTCCCCGAGTCCTCTGAACGTATCAGACCAGGTCCGGGGCGGATGAGATGGCCCTTTCGTTTGGTGTTTCCCGCCTCCCGCCGCGCGGCGGGTTTAGCGACGCAAGTCAATTCGTCTTCCGAAGCTAGGTACGCCTTTCCTCGAGGGAGCTTGGACACCAAGCTTTTCTCTCGTCACCTCTCCGGACCGCCCGCAATGGAGGCGAAGCTTCGGTGCAATGTGAAGCAGCCAATATGGGCTGTGTAAGCTTCGGCCGATAGGGGGTCGTGATATGCATGACTGGCGGCGTCTGTGAGGAAGTCCACCCCGGACGATGTTAGAGGCCGATTGGGTGGCCTTGCTTTTTTTTTTTGCCTCACCAAGAAGCACCGAGTCCGGACAAGACGATGAAGAGAGCGGAAGTCTGTTCCCCCAGTGATGCATGTACCTTGGGTACAAATGCGTCAATAATGGTGTTGTCTAATGGTGGACTTCGGTTGAATTGGCTGATGGGGGCGTGAGGTGAGCGGCATTAAGCAATGAAGACGGTAGCCGCGACAAGAATGTTTGGCGATGGAGGAATGGTCCGGAGTCGGGTTTCGCAATCGCTATTGCTGAGCCTGGACCTGACTGAGTGTCCGGACAGATGACAATGCAGAAGCAGGAGAGAGTGATTAGACCCCTTCTCTCTGTTACCCCAAGGTCTGTCCATCTTCACAGCCCCGATTCACACTGACAGTTCCGGTTCCAGTTCCGTGTGCTCGTGTGCTCGTGGGCTGCTCGTGGGCTGCTCGTGGGGAGGAAACATGTCGGTCGTCCTTTGAGGGAAGAAAGGTGTGACTGGTCCGGTGTTTAGGCCTGATGTCAGAACCCGCAAGAGATTGAGAGGTTGAAGGTGAGGTGAAAGGTCCCTTGAGGTCGAAGCGTTCGGACTTGTAACAAGAAGGTTCCAAGGGATCTTGACATGCAAATGCATGTTGGGAATGACGGCATTCAATTGGGGAAAGGTCGGTGCGCCGAAGCTGCTGCTGCCGCCGCAAGGTCACCCCTCTGCTCAGATTGGCGGTTTCCAACGACGGTTAGCTTTACCCTTACTCGTGAAGCTTTCGTCGTGTGTGTCTGCCTCCTTGCTTTACCTTTCGCGAGCTGAGACTGAGACGGAGACGCGTAGTGAGTGGCAGGTACTCATAAAGCATAGAGGTGAGATTTCGGTGAGAGATGCGACTACCCAAGGTGAACCACGGTGTGGGTTTTATCATGTGCGACGTCATGTGACCGCGCGATAGGTACGTGCCTGGATTGGCCCTTGATGGTGATGCGCTTGGTCTCTGTAGTGTGTGGCGCCGCGTGATTCGCGTTTCGCTGGCAACAGAGACGATCCTTTGTTTGCTCCAGGACACCAGAGGCAGAAGACAATTACTCAAAATCTTGATCTTCCATATCCATACCTGCTACATGGACTCAACTAGCATCACCTCATCAACGCGCATAAAAACTCTTGCATCGTAGTGGCCTCTTAACACTGCTCGCTTGACACACCCCAGCAAGAAAAAGAAAAGAAAAAGGCCGAGGCGACCGGGGGTGTGTCCTTCCACCGGCAAAATATGCCGTCGCCGAAGAAGCCCTCCGTCCCGCCAGCTGCAAAGCCCCGCTTCGGTAACAACTTCGATCCCTACAACTCCAGTGCCACTGGCCATCAGCGTCCGGACAACACCCCGGGTGCGACAACGGGGTGGCGAACCAGCCGCGCCCGCAAGCTCTCGGAGCAGTTCGCCGGCGGCAACTCGGGCGGGGCCCGCATGAGCGACACCTATGGCGCCGGCAGCGAGGACTTTGACGAGAGGCTAAATCTGGTCGTACCTAAGGATGTGAAGATGAGGGCAAAGATGAGCGTGGCAGACATGCTTGCTCGACCAGGACTGATGAGGAGCGGCTCTTCTGTCTCCGAAACAGGGTCCGTGGCGTCTGGTACGTCCGCCATGAGTGGAAACCTCAAGAGTGAGGAGGAGATTGCCGAGGCTCGCCGGAAGGAGGACGAGGAGAAGGAGGCGAGGAAGGCTGTCGGTAGGGGCTTGTTCGAGGGCGTTACGGTCTATATCAACGGGAGCACGCATCCCATCATCTCAGATCACCGGCTCAAGCGCGTCTTGGTCGAGAATGGCGCGCGAATGTCCATTCATCTCGGCCGGAGACAGGTCACGCATGTCATTGTTGGGAGGCCGGCGGGTGTAGGAGCCGGGGCTGGTGGAGGGCTCGCAGGCGGCAAGTTGGACAAGGAGATTCGTAAAGTTGGCGGGTGTGCTGTGAAGTATGTCGGCGTCGAGTGGTCAGTTTCCTCAGTTTCTCTTTGTGTGCCCAGTCCTTGGAAGGAGACTTGCTAACGCCCAGGTAGGGTTATGGAGAGCCTAAAGGCAGGGAGCCGACTGCCCGAGGTGCGGTTTGCACCCCTCAAAGTTGCGCGGGAAGGCCAAAGGAGCGTCTATGGCATGTATGAGAAGCACTCTTATAGGGAGTCCTCTACGAGTTCCGCGAATTGAGCGGTCTTCACATGGTTTTACGGTGTATGCGAGCAGAGACGATGCTTCAGGGATTGTCTCGATGGTGATATTTGCATGGAAGGGATTGGGGCAAAGGCTGGGAGCACAACGATACCAAGCATGGACTTTAGGCATACGGTGATTCAGCATACGGGGCGTTGGTTAGGAACAATTCGATGTCTAGTGCACTTCCTCCGATGGCCGATAACCTTTCATACGCAACGAACAAACTGGTTTGTGTCGTTGATCGGCCTTGTTACGGGTCTATCTAACCTCTGTAGCTCAACCCTCATACACCTTGCTTGGCGGTTAAAGAGGAGCAAGCCGCCTTGCCTCTTACTCTCCGCCCTGGCTTCGCATAAAAGGGGTTACACCCCGGACGGCCCGTGAGCAAACATGGTACGACGGCGCGACTCGATACGGGTGTCGCATATGTCTGGTATCTTCGAGCCTCGTCTTTTCCGCCACGGCCATAGACCGGTATAGCGGCAAGGCATATCAAGAAGGTCATTGCACAGGACTACTTACGAGGGGTCTGGGTTGAGAGATACGACCCAATAGATCGCCAACGAGAGGGGTAGAATACGGGACGGAAGTCCTCGAGTTGTCACACCGTCCTGCAGGCGCATGTTGCTTGCAGTGGTGTTCTTGCGTTCATCATGGATGTTGCAGGTGGCGATCTCCTTGGCGGGAGACATGGGCAGGAGATATACTTGGATCTGATTCTGGTAACATCATCAGAAATGGGTTGAATTCAATACCTATGGATAGGTACCACTGTTGACAGGACATCTTGGAAGACATGTCCTCTTTCCCCAAAAGGATAGCTGCCGCAGAACATCCTGGAGGGCTGAATTGGTTCTATGCCGAAGACTGCTGAAGGTGAACTATCCGTTCATTTCTGATCTGCCGTATCCTCGCTTCGAAGACCTTGGTACGCGCCCATCTGCAAGATACACGTCTCGGTATGGCAGTGATCGAGAGTCCTGTTCACTATCCAAGGTTATACTGACTGTCGATGTAGTATTGGGCAATGACTCCTAAGTCTGACTATACCATTGCCAGTGTTTGGATGAGCTCTACCTTGAGTAAGTAAGAGTTAGTGACGTCGCGACATGGGCTTTCTTTGGTTTACGTGAGCTTCAGCCTCGCTCCCAACTTCCTTTTAGCACAGTTTTCGAACTGTCAACCAGTACCTTTGTATCTAGCTCTTTAGCGGTTGATGATAATGTACATCGAGAAGAACAACATTCAAGAGAAGCACGTGTCGTTTGTCGCTTTCAGCTGCAATAAACTACTCCCCAAGGAATCTCTGTAAGACTCAGCATCCTTCCTTTAACCAAGACAGCCGATGCTCCAATAAGTTCACTCAATTCACTTTTCATGGGCTACAGCTACCATCCTCGACCCTTCATACCATAGTGAATGCAAAGTTTACTCCTGGGAGTTCCGGTCCTAGTCAATGTCTTTGCAGTTCACTGGATTTCCATCGCGTCTTATGGTAATAGCCTAACAAATCAATCGTTTTGCCATTTTCCAAGGATTAGACTTCTCCAAGTGAAATCGATCAAAATCCCATTTTGCCCTTATGGCTGATACTTCATCGATTCCTTCGTCTCTCAACCTGTTATTATTCTCAGACTCGCCTCACACCACTATGCTTTGGTTACTTCTTCGCAATTACGCTGGGTTTTCGTGTCGCGTCTTGGACTTCCTTGTACGGCGACTGACCATGTTGGAACGAAGCAAGATATAAGAATGTACTGCGGTTTACAGGCAGCTCCCCCTCCAAGTTGTTACTGAGTAAGTAAACATTGTCGGGCTTGTTGCCGTTTCGACTTGGCACGTTGAGAGTCTCAACTCGCCATCGCTCCAGGAGACATTGTAAACATACCAAGGGGGAAAAACTCAAGTATATGTCCTATTCCCGCCATCTGATATGTCTACGAATTTACGGTCCATCTATAACTTTGCTCTAGCCTCCGTACTCTTATGCCCGTCCCCCCGAACCTCCCAATACTCTCTTACCTTGGATCTTGCAACATCCACCACCCCGGCATCCTCAACAGTGCTCGGCACCTGCACCTCCTTGTCGAACTCTCCGTGAACCGCGTTCTCCAGTAACTCCCTCAGCACGCGCCGCAGTGTTTTGCCGCTTCGCGTCTTGGGAATCATCCCTTTCCCCTGGATGAGACCGCCCAGCGTCGCGATGGCGCCGACCTGTGACCGCACGAGCGTATTGATCTCGTCAGCCAGCTTCGCGTCGGGCACCGCCGAGGCCGGGTGTTCGGGTGTCGAGAGCGTGATGAAGGCGAAGGGGAGCTGGCCCTTGAGCGCGTCAGGGATGCCCACCACGCAGGCCTCGGCGACGAGGGGGTGTGACGTTATGGCCTGCTCGAGGCCGCCTGATGATCTTAGTCTTAAGATGTTCAGAATGGGTACGGGAACAGTTGACTCACCACTAGATAGCCGATGGGCACTGACGTTCAAAACATCGTCGTTGCGGGACATGACGTTGACGTAGCCCTCAGCGTCGATATAACCTGCGTCGCCCGTGTCCAGCCACTTTCCATCAAAGCGCTTCAGATATCCCTTATAGAACCGCTCTTCGTCCTGCCACAATGTCCTGAACGCCGTTGGAGCCAAGGGGAGTCCCAGTACAATATTCCCCATCGTGCCCCTGGGAACCTCCTTGCCGTCGTCGTCCACGATTCGGACGTCGAATCCAGGCATCGCTTTACCGGCGCTTCCCGGCTTGATCTTGGGAGGAGGGTGATCCCGAATACCTGTACTCCGGTCCTTACCGGCGTGCGGTACCAGGGCTCTCCCAGTGATGGGCGAGCCAGCCTCTGTCGACCACCAGTTATCCACGACATGGGCGTCGATGGCACCGTATTTTTCGAGGAGTTCCTGGTACATTGTGATGATTGCTGGTTCGGAACGCTCGCCTGCGAGGAAGAGCCCTTTGAGCGTCTTTAGGCCACCTCGTTCTCCCACTTGCTTGAAGAGCTTGTTTTCGGGGTCATCTCGCTTGATGGCCCTCAGGGCTGTGGGCGCCGTGAACATGGCATTGACCTTGTATTCCTCTACAATGCGCCAGAAAGCAGAGGCATCAGGGGTTCCCACCGGTTTACCTTCGTAAAGAACTGTAGCGGCGCCCGTGAACAAGGGGGCATATGCGATATAGCTGTGACCGACAACCTGCATCAGTGTCAGAAGTAGCTCGTATGAACAGACGGCTTGCAGAAACATACCCAGCCAATATCCGATGCTGTGAAAGACACACACCCTGGGCCATGAATGTTGAAGAGATAGCTGATGGATAGGTGCAGCCCAACAGCGTGACCAGCAGCGTCCCTCAGCACCCCCTTGGGCGACCCGGTCGTCCCGGACGTGTGAATGATGTAGATCGGATCCGTCGACTTGACCGGCACGCACTCGGCCCTGACGCCCCTTGCGCGGCAGCTTTTGACGATGCTCTGCCAGTTCCGCTCACCGTCGTTCCTCCGAATAGGGTGCCACGGCACCTGCTCGCGCTGCCACACAACTACCTTGTCGGGCTTGTGCGTGGAGATCTGGCATGCTTCCTCGACGAGGGGCTTGTAGCTCATGGGCGGTTTGTTGCCATCGATGCCGCACGAGGCCGTCAGGATGGCCACGGGCTGGGAGGCCTCTATGCGCTGGGCGAGGGCATTGGGTGCGAAACCACCAAAGACCACCGCATGAATGGCACCCAGGCGGCTGACGGCGAGGATGCCGATCAGCGCCGCAGGGATCATTGGCACTGGGTTTTGTGTGAGCTTGTTCCAATCCGCATTTCATCTCATTCATCTAAAGATGGACTTACTGTAAATCAGCACGACATCGCCCTTCTTCACGCCCTCCTCCCTCAACGCACCGGCAAACACCTCAACCTCGTCAAGAAGCTGCTTGTACGTGATGGTCTGTTTCGTGTTGGTGACCGGGCTGTCGTAAAATATCGCCGGGGCGTCACCCTTGCCGTTATGGACGTGACGGTCGACGCAATTGAAGCACGTCGAGATCTCGCCGCCTGGGAACCATTCCCAGGTGTCGTGGGTGACGCCGCTCTTGAGCGTCTTCTTGGTGACTTTTAATGTGGACGAGGGCTTCTTGTGCCAGTGCAGGTGCTCGGCCTGGTGAGCCCAAAACCCATGGGGGTCCTCGAGGGAATGGCGCAGGACCTCGTCTTGAGGGTGTAAGTCGGCCATTGCGGATGCGGTGTGCCTGTGGCTTTGTTGGGGGATGACAGCCGGTCGGAAGATGAGTTTGCGTAGAACAATGAGTCTACAATCAAAAATGAACAACGAGATACGGTATGGATTTCACAAAGACACTACTACGACGGTCTTGGCCAAGTAAATACGCCAAGCTCGGCTCTCTTGATTGATCGGACGGCGGGAAGTTTAGAGGTTGAAACGGAGATTGGCATGCGAGACATGGATACCGGTGTAGCTGCTGACGTGCCTCTTACGGACTGTTGGGTACGGTTCTGGGGATGAGGAGGCTTCCCCGCATTCCGTTGACCCGGGGTAAAGGGGACTGACCGTCATTGCCGACCACCCCGAACCTCGCCCGCCCAATTTAGCGTCTGTCGACCGATACTGAAGGCGTCTTTATTGATTCCACTCTTTGGATTGGAGGTAGGCAAGTCTAACATGTCAGTCGCTTCTCTAAGTTGACAGGCCGTGTTTTCAGTGCGATGTTGAATGAGAATACTTCCCGGAAGTTGATACAATGCAACAAAAAGTTTCTATCGATTCTTTTGAAATAATGAGACTCGTGAACTTCCGAAAATCGCACCATATTCCTCATGTTCTTGATTACCGACTTTTGGGCCCAAGATGTCACGGAGAGCCGTCGATCCAGCCATAACTTTTAGGAAGGATCTACGGGGTAGAGTCGGCATTGCTTCAATTCATCTTTCCACAATCGCGGTCCCCACAACGGCTCCCCGCAAGACCCATTCTTCCCGCAGGTCCCTCGCCGACGGTGTGTTAGCGAGGCAGGGCGTGATGGCATCATTGGCCCGAAGAATCTCTCGACCTCTAGCGACCCAAGTTCTTCGGACACGGCTATGATGGGTTTAGTGAATGCACTCGAGTCTTTTATGTTTTGTCAGGAAGACAATGGCGATAGCCCGATGCCCCGGGTGATGTCTCATGCTGCTGGCAGTCTAAGTCGGGAATGAAGAATACCCGACGACTACCTAGGAGCATCGGATACAGCTACGGGCGCCGATTTTCTCTTTCAATAACACCGTAGTCGAATCGAATTGCCTTTCCTTTGCAGAACTGTTGCAATGGGAATCAAGCGGGTCCTTGCAAAGAACCCCATAGTCTCTCGCCGGCTTCTCGCCGAGCTGATTGCGCGCCAAGGTAGACAGACGCAAGGGAAAGACAGAGATTAAGAAGGTCAACAAGAAACATAGCTCTACGCAAGGGACGTTGAAGGGAACGGTTCACCGGCACATGGCGCGCAGCGTCCGGCAGCGCCAGCGGCCGACACGGCCGATATTCCCACCCGTCCTTCTCCTACGCAGGGTGCCCGAGTCTAGACATGGTCGAGAAAAACCGCTCAAGACACACGGAACGAGACCGACAGCTTGCCAGATTGCTTGCCTGCCTGTGCCTGCATGCCCAGGGAAGACCCCTGGCCGCACGGGTTCATCTGACAACTCCCTTCCAACACTGTCCCCTTCCGGATCTCTCGCACCCCGGATGACAATTTGTGGGCTCTTGACATTCGTGGAAATCCAATTAATGGCGATCGTCGTGGCGAAGCCCGGAGGAGCTGTTAATCTCGCTTGGGTCCATCTCATGCACCAGGCCTTGCTATAGGGGTTTGTTGCATAGTCAACTCGTTTGCAAGCATATTGCTGTATCCGCGATGGAGGCGAGCGAGGGTGGGTGTGGATTTTGAGACAAGGTACCTCGTTGAACGGGAATCTCACTTCATCTCCGGATTCCTTCATTCTTTAGGATCGATGGACGACTTTGGTTGTCTGTCAGACTCAAGTTTCTTCAATCCACATTCCTCATACTGCCGAAAACAACCGGTTCGTTCGGTTGCATTGCCAGTCAGCCACGTGTAGGGAGAAGAAGAAGAAGAGAAAGAAGAAGGTCTAGCCCGAAGACTGCTCAGCAGCGGGCGATCCACTCATCCGCCCATTCCAGTTCGACCCAATCCGACGCGACCCCGTCACGCTGCTGCAGCGTACCTAGTGTACGCCGGCCCAAGCGCCGCGCAAGACGCAGGTACAGCGCATGATCGCCGGGGGAACAAATAAAAGGGGACCCGTACTGTAAACATTGGACAGTTCCCATGAAAAACTGGGCACCGCAGCACACCCCCTCCCCCCCCTTTCAGGAGCCAGTAAACAAAACAACCTTAATCAAGGGATGCAACGGCATCTTAGGTAACTAACTCTCACGCTCACGCTCAGCCCGTCCCTAAAACGGGCGGTCAACGGGGGGCTGAAAGGCGCAGACAAGACCGATGCAACTGCAGTTTTCGGGGCCGCCCGCTTGTCAGCTGAGCTCATGTCTCTTCCCTGGTCCATCCCAAGCATCCAAAGGCAAGCAACTGGCATGACGCGTCCGTCTTCCCCCCACAAGAACCTCCAAGAAGCATCCAAGACATGCTCCAAGAATGCACTTGTATTACACACGAGAAATGCGGCATGGCAGCGGCGCAAAAAAAGGCTGGACTGCGCCCCCAAAGATCCAACCATACGGGCTCTGGAAGAACGGCGCCCAGCGCAAGCGAAATGAAGCCGCAGAACACCCCTCTCTCTCACCGCAGTCCCCCGTATCCGTAAACCTCGTGTCCGTCCATCTTGCAGGCCCCCGCGCTCTGGGCTGGACCGTTAACCCATTCCTCTGACCTGGGGACTTTGTTTTGGTGCACCCTTCAACAGTGAACGACGATGGACGGTGCCTGCGCCAACGGATTTCGACGAACTCGTCCGGGGGGGGGGGGGGGGACTTGCAGAGACGACGGTACGCACGCCGAGTGACGCAGATGGCGTCCTTGCTCAAACGGCCCGTCGTAAAAAGCCTCGCGCGCGAGACGCCAATGTCTCGGGCCCTCGACGTTGGTGGAAACGGGAGGATTGGGAAACTTTTGCAAGTCTGAGCGGGGGTCTAAATCAAGAAACATTGTTTCTCCAGTAGCTTCAGTAGAAGGCTTCGGTGAGGATCTTGACAGGCGTCGCCTGTGACGGCGGACTCGTAGCCACGGCTGTCTTTGCAACCTGTGCTCGTGGTGGTGCCCTCGGGGGAGGCCGCGGGCCCCTCCACTGGCATCGCAAGACTACGATGTCGGCCAGATGGAGCAGGAAGCTGACGTCACAACTGCAGGGAAACTGGCTGGACAATGAGCACTTGCATATTGAGTAGCGGGCCAGGTTCATCGCCAGAACATCTGTAGTGTTCACACACGCCGGGTACAATGGTTCGAGCGCCGGACCAAAACTGGCCTCTCGGCATTGTTCCCGTATTCGAGCATCTCTACGGAAAAGACATTGGTGGTGGACAAGAGACCATAAAACATCCAGCGAAATTTTCTGTAGAGCTTGGTCCTAAGATGCTCGCCCGCAGCCGCGCAGAAGATATCAACATGGACAGGATATAGACAAAGGGAGATGAAGTATTGGTCGGCGGTGGGCAGGCGAGCACTAGAGCAAGAAAACACGCTTCTTTCGGGAGAAGAATATAAGTGAATTTGGGGCTTGGCGTCAATAGATGACCTGCCGCGAGAGGGAAAAGAGACAGCAGAGTGGCCTATCGTGATCGCATTATATTCCCATAAAGCCTCCCGAAAAAAAAAAGGGTATATACCGCACACACACGGAGATAATCCTCATGGGCGATCGACGGAATACCGGAGCCAAGAACCGTTTGTGGGGGGTTTGTAAAGCAGGTACAAGAAAGTTGCAGTATTGACAGGTTTGTGTAAGCTGCATTGGTTTGGCCGTGCCTCGAGAGACATTCCATGGCACCCATGCAGGCAATAAAATGTACCGGGTATTCTTCCGTGGGCGCGTCGTTTCCGCTCCGTCATTTTGGTCCTCCCAAGCTCTGTCCAAGGAGAGACTCCTCCCAAAAACTCCCGTCCGTAAACAAAACCCATCCACCGGGTTGGTTGGATGTTTCAGAAACGCGCTCCAGTCATAATGTGTCGTAGGCTCCCACGAATGAAGATGTTATCGTACGTCCAAGATCGTAGGGGGAGACATGGATGGCGAGACGTGGAGGTGATTGATTTAGAGGACGAAAGCGGCGAGGCCGAGGACACCGGCCAGGCCGGCGCCGGAGAGGGCAGCGGCCTTGCCAGCACCAGCGGTAGGGACCGAGACGGGCTTGGTGGGGGTGATGGATCCGGTGCCGACAATGGAGGTCTTGCTGACAGCGGGGGTGGCGACGGGGATGGTGGCGTTCTTGGTGGGGAGAGCGCTATCAAAGTGGTTAGTTACCGATCTCTCGCGAAGCGGTGGAAGACAAATCGAACCAGTTGTCGCACTTGACCACGGAGGAGGTGATGACGGGCTTGGTGACGGTGCAGGGGCAGTCAGTGATGGTCAGGGTGGTGGCCTGCAAGGTGTTAGCTCGTCGTCGTCAACCAGTGGGAGTTCCGAAGACGGGTGTCCGGGCTGTTTCCAGATCTCGGGAGCGTGAACGCGGTTGCTTGTTCCGCGGCCCCCCGTGACTCTTCAAACCCCCTTCGTCCGTCTTCCGGGATCGACATACCGAGGTGATGGTGTAGGTCTTGTCAGCGTGGGTGATGACAGTGGGACCAGGGCACCAGGTGGTGTAGGCAGAGACGACCTCAGTGACGTAGGTGACGTTCTTGTGGGCCATGGCGCCGGAGGCGGCGAGGACAAGGGCAGCAGCGGAGAACTTCATTTTGACGGTTTGGAGGAGAGGGTTTTTGGTATTAAGACTCGGAAGAGTAGTGGTTGTGAGTTGAGGATTAGTTGGTTTGGGTTAACGAATGAAAGCGACTAAAAAGTCTGGGTCGGTAGTGAATGAGTGAGTGTGGGTGAGGAGAGAAAAAGGGAACAGCAGATGGGACGGCCTGGAGGAAATGGATTTATATACAGAGATGGACGCAACACGACATGGGGACTAGGGTGGTGGTCTCTACCTTAGTGTCGAGGGTGGGCGTGCTACCTTGCCTTGTGGTAAGGTAATGGGATGGGATGGATGCG